ACTACTGCATGTTTACGCACTGTGGTAAATGTGTGCAGTTCAATAATTATTTTAAATGAAAATGAGTTTAGATAAAGATATTAGTTCAATCATTATAAACCACCTGCACAGCACTGTCCTTACCTTTTCACACAGTGGTGTGCATCGGTGCTGTCTATACATGTTTTGAAAGAAATACCTATCCAATGGACTTCAACCTGCACATTTCATTTAGTCTTTTAAGTCTGCAATAGCCCTCAGAGGTTGTTTGGAGGGAAATATGTTCTCCACACCTGCTGACTAAGAGCACATAGCACACAGGTCCCAGAGTTGGAACAATTTCATACTACATTTATATGCTTGAGGCATTTAAATACATTGCAGTCATAACTAGCAATACCATGCCACTTGAAAACTGAACAACAAAAATAAAGACTGTATATTTCAAAACAGCTGGCACGTTACTTTCAATGCTTACAATATTGGCCAAACTGATCAATCATGTACTGTATTAGTTACCACAGCTGGGTTTCCTCACCCATTTTTCCTTCTTGCATATAAATACTCATACCCACAGTGGAGTTTTTTGCACCTCAATCTAAGTAATATAGAAGCTAAACAATAAAGCCGTAACCTACATTAATCTGTAGTATGCAAATCAAGAACTTTAAGTATTACAATTTCCTGAAAATAGTTTTAAATATAACAGATGATTTTGCATTGTTAGAGCCAAATCACACGTTTTCTGTTCTCTAACCTGGGTCATTGCTATTCCATATTTCAATTAAATCTCAAGAAATGAGATTAAAATGCAGTAGAAATTCATTTACAACAGTCTTGCTCAAATAATGAACCACTGTCACAAACACAAAATGGATACCGGTCTCTTCTTGTTTCCATGCTATATTCAAGTAATGAAAGGATATCTTTCAACTATTTCCTTTCGGGAAAGAAACATCTTTTTGCCAGTGCTACAAGCAACATAATTCCAAAAAATCTAAATAAATCTAAATATGTATCTCCCAAGTATTGAACATCTGGAACAGCAGAATATAGCATATGAATAAGCATAGTTTGCAATCTATATGATAGCCAAATAAAAAATACACAGACATACTGCACTGTAAGCTACAGTAAAAAAGTAACTTATTAACATACGTGCAAGAAAAGTGTCACAAGATAACCTTTTCTTCTTTAACACAAAATGAAATGCAACTTCCACAAGAAGATGTTTTTTTCATTTAAATCTGGGCACAGCAACAGCACATGCCATTGCAATTTCACAAATCTCATTATGGTCATTCTTGGCTTTACAAAAAAGCAATGTAGCACCAGCCTTCATGATTAGCAGTTTAAATATAATTCAACATCTTTTTTTTCCCATGTAATTTGATCCACATGGTAGGGAGAAATTCTAGATGACAGCAGACAAGCTACTAAATAAATCAGCTTTTACATCCACAACAACACATCTCACTTACACTTCTGACTTACTGACTGAGAAAGATCTGTGTGAACTGTGAGGGTTTTGGCTTTTGTCAGCAGTGCCAGCTTCTGAAATGTTGCTTATATGCAAATACAACTTAAATTGTCCTCTAGAATAAATTGTGTTGCAAACCTTGGGTAACAGTTTGACCTCTTAAAAACCTAAAAAGCAATACAGTTCACACATGAGCACTGTGTACATACTCAATGAAAACTATAAGTTTTTCTGTATTTAAGTGCCATCTCTGCTGGCACAATATAAATTACAATGAACAAAGAAATCCTAACTATTGTGATTCATGAAATGTGTTTTCAGGCATTTCCAAAAGTGTTTCAGAAAAAAAACACAAGTAAAAGTTACCTATCCAGTTTCAATTTCTTCTGCTTTATAAAATCATAAGCAATTTATGGTTTATATTACACTTTGTCTTGTACAGTCTGAAAAGTGAATATAGTACATAAAATAAGTGTAAACATAAAACCTGACATATGAGAAATGCAAAACCTGTATTTACAGATAAAATTCACCTTTCATTGAAAATTTATGGCAGCGCTTAAGGGAGAAGGATTTTCTACATGTAACAGCATGCTTTTAGTTGGAGAAGCATGGTACTGACTGGAAATGATGACTTGTCTTATACTCACTAATGATTCTTTCACACACACACTACACATGAGAAAGGACCAATGGAGATAGGTGATTCTTACATTAAGAATACAAAGGCTTTAGATTATACAATCTTTCCTTTCTACTATAAAGCTTGTCCTCTTAGGAATAAGACCTTACATCCACGACACTTCTAGATACAGTACTGCTAGAATAATACATTAGACTATTTTTGTAAAAATGGTCTAAAATACTAAAGTATTTATATATAATAAGATACATGACATTATATAAACAAAACACAAAAACAAAGGAGAAAATGACTTGGGTACTTGCTCATACTTAGTGAAAGAGAGCAAATATTGTACACCACTTATGGTGTTGTCCCATCAAAAAAAATGTTTTAAAGTAGGCAAATTATAACAAAATTATGAACCAATTAATCACAGACGAAAGTTTTCTTAACAGTTCTATTTTTTACCAGACAGTTAAGGAAAATGCTTTCGATAAAGCAGATCCACAATTGTGTGCTAAATAGTGAAAGACAAAGGGCAATAAAAACTTCTGTGACCAAATCTTTAAAGTCACATGAAAAAGGTTCTCTTACCTTTAAAAATTATTCAAGACTGCTTTTCATGAATGAAACCATTTCCTACACAAATATATATATACATTTACCTCTCGTCAAGTCCAGGGTTAAAAGGTCATTTTACCACCTTTAAGAGTTATCTAACACTTGACATCAGGGTGTGCCTGAATAGCTGCTCATTAAACTGGCAGAGACTTGGCTTCCTGGGGACAGCAGGGTAACCATTGTCACAGATTAACCCATTGGGACATCTTATTAATACCTGTAATAAACCCCCTTCAGGAAAATAATTGGCCGTAACCTTAAAAATTTACATAAGACTGATAACCAGAATTTATAGGATGAACAAAAGTTGTTTTCAAAGGAAATGAAAATGACTGATACAAAAGGGGGGGGGGGAATGCTTGGAAAAGCTCAAGCTGAAGTATGTAAATTCAGGAACAAGTAATAGGTTTATTCCATGCTGAAAAGAGAAGAAAGAAAACACAACATTTTTGCCGTGGAGCCTCCTTCAGGTGTGAGTAAATTCAGTGATGTAAAGGAAAAAGCCACAGCAAGATGATGTGTGAAAAAGTCTATGATCAGATATCTCTATGGAATAATCAGGCACCGCAAAGAAATTTGTGAAAAAAAAAGGCAATTTGCTGAAAACAAAAGTAGGAAAAGTAAAAACTGGAAATGGTGGAATGAACCACACAATCGAGACGTTGATTTGATGTATCAATCAGATATTGTGACATTTTATTCAATAAATGTCAAAGTATACAATAAATGAAGGTAAGTCTACACACCAACAAAGTCTGTTCAATCCTTTTAATATACCTAACGACTGATATTCAGCAGTCCTGTGGGATGAACTAGAGTACTCAAAGTTAGCGACGGTGAAAAAAACATTCTTTTAACCTGGTTTACAGTTACAGAATAAAAAGGGATGAGCAGTTTACTTAGTTTAGTAGTTTACTTAGTACAGTATAACGTGAAAGCAAGACATTATTCTAAGTGACTATAAATTATGTAGATCTTCTATATCTGTAGATATAGAACTAAAATTTGCAAACAAAATACTAAAACTAAATAACAGAAAAGTATCACATCTAATACACTATTAAAATAATACACTATTAAATTCTATGTAATATGCAACTATTCACCCTAAATAATAATTAAGAAAACATAAGTTATAGATTGTGGCTCCATAAAATTATGATTTATGAGAACTACTACAGCATGTGGAATTCATAAGTGACAGACTTTAAGCAAAGTGTTGTTTTATTTTTTTTTTAAGTGAGCAACTTTAATTATTAGATTAATTTAGGAGATAGCATTTAGTTAGACTAACCTACAATAAATCTTCAAGATCTTCAGTTAGAGTTAAGGAAATGTAAGAAGATCAAAGTTATCACATAACATAAACACTTTCAAATAATACAACAAAATTACACTAGCTCAGAAGTCCTGTTAACTTCAGTTCATTTTGTTCTTGTCCACTTAGGAAATAAAATAATTTTATCTATTCTCAGCATCAGTCTTATAAGAATTGAAAAAGGTGAAAACTACATCTTTATCTGATCACTATTGAGTGGTTAAATACCAGAATATTTTTTCAAAGTATTTTCAGTATAAGAAATGATCATTCTTGAGTTTAGTCTGATTATTAAACTAAATGGTAATCCCATAATAAAGACTTTTTTCTATATAATGGACTATGTTCAATTTTCTCAGTGTTCACCATGATCAAAACTATTTCCCAAAAATATAATAAATATAATAATTAATGCTGAACAAGATTTTACTTGATCACAGGTTAAATCATCACCTTCAACTATAGTAATATTATTCAATCGTGTCACAAATATTCCAACCAAACAGAATTAAACAGATTTAAAACTGACTGTTTTTAGTCTCCACAAATGTATAAAAAGCAGCCTGGACAGTAAATGTGTTTTGTTATTAACTTATTGACTATGTCACACATATATTAGTTAAACCTGATGGAATGCGAGGTGGCAGGACCAGTCAGAAGAAAGATTTGTAGGCCTGGGGCAAAACAACTGCTCATTTAAAAAAAATATTTCATTGTGCAACAGTAGATGCAGCTTGTGCTTCACAACATTACATTTTTCATCAATGTCAAATAACCATTTTTCAAAGAAAGCATAAATCAAAATGTTACTTATCAGCAGAAAACAACTGAAACCAGCATGTTAAAACACACCCTTTTGACATGTAGCAAAAGCTGCTCCTTTCTACAACCTAAAATAAAAGGTAAAGCTTTAAGAATTCTAAAATAAAGTAAAACAAGGAATTTGCAAACTTCGAGATCAATGAATAGGCACTTACCTGTGACGGACACTTTCATTCTGGCTTCCAAGGGCCTGTTATTATCCAAGTCTCTGCTTAGCTTCAGCTCTCCTGTGTCTTGGTTTAAAATCAAGAGACTTAGCTCATTACCCTCCACAAAGGTGTAATGAAGTTTATCTGAAACGTCGGGGTCATAAGCAGGAACCTTTCCAATTACCCCAGAAGGAAAGCTGTTGGACTTGTTGGTTACATAGTTGTTAAAAATGATTTCAAAGTCCTGCAGCACAGGATCATTGTCATTTATATCCACAAGCCGGATGTGAACAGTGGCTCGGCTCACTAATGGAGCAGATGTTGCCTGGACCACAATCAGATACTCTGTTTTAGTTTCATAATCTAAATCTGTTAAGGCAATTAGGTCTCCATTAAAAATATCCAGCTGGAAAACCTCTGGAATGTTTCCTTCCACAATCTGATACATGATTTGTGCATTGGATCCTTCATCTGGGTCTGTCGCAGTGATCCTTGCTACAGTAGAACCTACTGCACTGTTTTCTTCAACATAGATGTCAAATTCATCCTTTTCAAAAACAGGTGGGTTGTCATTTATATCTAGCACAGATATCTGGATGTTCACTGATGCTTTTAAAGGTGGAACCCCCTTGTCAACCGCATAAGCTTTCAAGTTGTAAACTGGCACATTTTCTCTGTCCAGCTTCCTAGCTGTCCTGACAATCCCAGAGGACTGCTCAATGAGAAAATCCCCATCTCCATCATCCCCACCTTGAAAAGTGTAGCTCACTCTTCCATTGGATGAGGAATCCCTGTCAGAAGCAGTTATTTGCAGGACGCTGGTGAACACAGGTGCATCCTCAAAAACACTGCCTGAGTAAATATCTGTTTGGAACTGAGGGGAGTTGTCATTGGCATCAACAACAATTATTTCAACGTAAGTTGTGTCTGACTTCTGAGGAATTCCATTATCCCTGGCTATAATTGCCAACGTGTAAGAAGCCTGATCCTCATAGTCAATTTCCATTTGAGTAGTTATTGCACCTGAATCAGGGTTGATTTTAAACTGTGGAACATTATCTTCCATTAGGTAAGTAATCCTTGCATTCTCACCAGTGTCTTCATCAGTTGCACTTATAACTACTACCGTAGAACCAATGGGCCTGTCCTCACTGATTTCCACCTGGTAATTAGCATTCTGAAAAACGGGCCTGTGTGTATTAGCATCAGTAACATTAATGTAGACCTGGGCTGTGTCAAAACGAGTGCCATCGGATGCAGTTACAGTCAGCACGTATTGCCTCTCTTGCTTATAATCCAGGGGTAAGGCTAATGTTATTAGACCACCACCACTCTGGCTCGTAATTGCGAACCTGTTCCTAGTGTTTCCACTTGAAATCTGGTATGTTACAACACTGTTAACATCTCTGTCAACAGCTGTAACAGTCAACACACTAGTCCCCACAACTGCATCTTCATTAATTCTAAGGTAATACTCTTTTTCAGTGAAAGCGGGGATGTTGTCATTCACATCTAAAACGGTTATGCTTACACTGGCAGAGGATGACATAACTGGGACCCCATGATCCCTTGCTTCAATACCAAAGTGATAATAATCAGTTGTCTCTCTATCTAGTTCTGCCGAAACTGTGATCCAGCCTGTGCTGTTATTAATTGCAAAGGGAAAATCTTGTGGCATGTCTGTCAGTCTGTATTGTAAGCGAGAATTCTCTCCAGAATCCGCATCAACAGCCTGAATGTGAATTACAGAATGTCCAACTGGGACGTTTTCCAAGACTGTGGCTTGGAATGGGGTGCTGACAAACATTGGAGCATTGTCATTCACATCAACAACTTGCACAACAACAAGACCAGTCCCATTTATCAAAGGGGGTCTACCCCCATCCTGTGCCTTAATTCGCAGATTATATTCCCTAATTATTTCATAATCTAGCGGGTTAATTACATCAATGACACCAGTAGGTGAATGAATATAAAACTGACCTTTTACATTTCCACTAATTATACTATAGTGCACTTTGGCATTGTTGCCTTCATCTTTATCAGTAGCTTCCACCTGTGCAACTTTGCTGTTCACTGGTATGTTTTCAGGTACCTTGACAACGTATCTTTTTTCACTAAACTGAGGATAGTTGTCATTTTCATCCTCTACGGTGATGTGCACAGTAGCTGTAGCAGTTTTTGGGCCAGGGTCTTTGCCTTGGTCATTGGCCTCAACTATTAGATGGTACTTTGCCATCGTTTCCCTGTCTGGACGCACCCTGATCTTAACAACTCCAGTTCTCGGATCAATTTCAAAAGCGGCGTTTGCCCCGTCACCGTTCACAATTCTATATATCATATTAGCGTTGGAAGGCGCATCTCCGTCTGTTGCCCTTACAGTCATCACTTCAAAGCCTTCTTCCATATTTTCGCGAATGCTAACCTTGTATTCAGTTTGCTCGAAAACCGGGCCGTGATCATTGGTATCACTAACAGTGACTGTGAGATACACTACCCCTGACCTCTTAGGTGTGCCGTTGTCAGTAGCAGTCACTTTGAATACATGAGTATCTTTTACTTCCCTGTCTAAAGGCTGTGTGGTTATAATGCTCCCGGTCTCTGGATCAATTTGAAAATAATCGTTGGATCTGCTATCAAACAGGGCTTCCATAGTATACTCAATTCTACCAGCATCGCCTTCATCTGGGTCAGTGGCTCTTAGCATAATAACCCACGTCCCAGCGGGCTCATTCTCTGGGACAGACACCTGATAGTTGCGCCACTGAAACTGGGGAGCGGTGTTCACGTTTCTTTTTCTGCGTTTGTTCCACGGGCCCATCTTATGACGTGCATGATCTGTGAATAAACCACGCTCGTCCGTTGTCATAAACCGTAATTTAACTCTAACAGTGATCTGATCATTTCGCCGGTCCTTGAGCGTACAAACTAAATCCACCTCACTCCTCTCTCCAGACCGTAGGCAGTGATCCCCATTCAGTGTTAAACTCCCATTGTTAAAGACCACTTTTAAATCCGCTTCAGTGCATGTGGAATTGGAAAACTCAAAATTCCTCGTAAAAACTGGTAAATGTTCCTTTATATTCATTAGCAATTTACCTGCGGAAAAGCAAGAAGCCGCATCCAGTCTTGAAAGGTAATTAATGTATATATTGGGCTGACCTGTTGTAGTCTTTCTTTTGTATTTGATAAAGCAGTCTTGCCCGTGGACAAAAGTGTTAAAATGCGTTAAAATTAAGTTTTCAGAATTTACAGACCTGAATTTGAAGTAAACCGGCGCAGGATTTTTTAGCAGGCGCGCACAGTCTATTTTCTGAGTAAGACGTAAGACTCCGGCTTGAGGGTCTATTTCCAAAAAGTTTCTCAGGTATTTTGGAGTTAAAGTTCTATCGATTTTGTATATCCAACCAGGTCCAAGAGACAAATTTGTTAATACAAATCCGGCATGTAAAGAGTCCGAAAGGTGCAAATCAAAACATCCCAACATTGGAAATTGAAATAGAAAACTAATCCAGATCACCCAGTGCACTGCCAGTTCCATGGCTCAAAACTCTGTAGATCCACACAAGTTATCCAGAACACCTGCATATACCATTAGCTCCCCTCCCGCCAGGACATCGTTTTTCGTTTATGTTCCATGTGAAGATTTTATTAACAAAAAGACGAAACTTAACATCTTGTATCCAGAGAGCTGAAACTCATTATTTCCACGTTAAGTTTAAATGATTACAAAATGGCTCCGCAACTCCTCTCCTCCTCCGAAACTGATTAGCATAAACCTGCTCTTATCACCCTACAGGGAACTTTCACAGGGCGCTTTTTCGTGAGTATTTACTAATCTCTCCAGGATACTTAGAAGTCCGCCTGTTAAATGCGTTGTTTTCTTGGAGAGAGAGATTATTATACAAGCACGTAACGCCAGATTTTTAAACTTCCACATTATTATTTATAAAATGTTATTGAAAGGTTTAATTTATATTGTGCAAAACTAACCATTTTTAAATATATAATATATATATATGCATCAACAAGTTTGAAAACACAAATATGTACAATGTCATAAGAGCGTTTTAATAAAAAATGAGTTATGACAAATACTAAAAAACTGTCACGACTAGCAAATATACATTTCTCTAATGAAAAAAGTTGATGTGGAATACAATCCGCAGTTTTTCACTAAATAAAAACGTTTGAATCCCCGTTAGTATATCTTAATCTACAAAAGTGTTAACCTACAAAACATGTGTGACGGGTTTCATCTCCGTAGCAACATTGTAACTTTCAGCTTTAGACTTCTTTGCTGTGGTCTATAAAATACTCTCTGCAAGAGTGACATCTGGTGATCACCATTAGAAGTAAAAGTACCTGTATTTAAAGTTCCTCGACAGCTCGTAGAAAATACCAATGCGATGTTTCACATGACCGTTATTATACGAGATTAAATAAAGATTGAATAAAAAATATATATATACTTAATTTTTAGTTGTACAAACATGCTATTAAACCAACGAGAAATTAACGGGTTTAGTGTTTGTCTCAGAAATAATAATAATAATAATAATAATAATAATAATTTTCTCCTTTTACAAAATTTCTGATAATAACGTGTACAGATATTCAAATACTGTATCGGCTTTAGCAATACTGAATTCATGTTTAACTATTTAATTATTATTATTTATAAATAATTAGACATAAAACTCTTGGAAATCAATATAATTCGTAGCGTAGTAGTAAGGCTACAGACCATAGTGTCATAGGTTCAAATCCTGGGTAGGACGTTGGTATCATATCTGTAAACAAGGCATAAAAAGCACCAGTGAATGCCCTGTTGTGTAAATGAGTCTCCAGGTTGTCACTGAGTCAAAAATGAGAATTTGTTATTGTTAAGAACAATAACTTAACACAACTATTATTCACACTTCACTGCCATACATCAATGATATGTTGAATTATTGTTATTGAATAATACAAATTATTTAATTGTGGCAGCCTGTTATGAACTATTCATTGCACACGTATTTAACTAAAATAATTAATGAACATAAAGTGAAGGAAATTTTAATAAAAAGCCACTTTTGTTGAGTGTGGGTATTGCTGAAGACAATGGAATTAGAATCTATTGAAGAATTGAATAAAATAAATTATAAGAAAAAAAGAAAGGGAAAAACAGAAGTGTTGAAACATTTTCAGTATTTTTAAATAAGAATAGGACAAAGAGCACATTTTAAATATTGTTTTGAGTTTCTAATCACATATTGCCCAGACGATTAATATAAAATGTGACATTATCTACTGGATGAACCATACATACATTAAATATGTATAAAGATCTCAAGCAACAAATCAGCCTTTTAAAAATCATTGTAGGACCTAGCTTTTATTTCTGACTGAAATAATGTTGTTTATCAAAGAACAGTATTCAGTGATGATCAAATGTATTTTCAGTATTAGTGAACAGTTTTATGAACACTGATACGGGACGCTATTGTTTTAAGAGAAACTATTTCATCATCATGAAATGATAAACAAAAAGCTTTATTGAGCACACTTTGTTGTCAGATGACATCAATATAGAGCTTTTATTCAAGAAGATATCCATAATGTGTATGGAGTAATGTGCAAAAAAAGACCACATGTCTGAATAATAGTTCAGAATTGTTCAGTCTTGTTATACATTTGCAAACCATTGCTTGGAAATGCTTTAATCATCAATTTGGCAATTACAATTTCATCTTCTAACATGATGACAGCTCTAAATGCATGCCAAAGACAACAGATGAAAGTTCGAAGAAGAAAGAAAAGGATTCCTGTTTTTGATTTGCCTTCCAAACTATTGCATTTGAATGCAATTGAGATTGTACAGACAGACATAAAGAAAGCTACTGCTCAATGACCAGAAAAAAGCGAACATTCCATCTACATACTGTCAATAAGGAACAAGTAATAGGTTTGTTCCATACTGAAAAGAGCAGAAAGAAAGAAAACACAACCTTTTGGCCGTGGAGCCTTCTTCAGCAGCTACCTACCTGAACTACTACATACTGTCAATAGTTGATTGAAAGCACTAATAATTTTAAGGAAGGCATATAATATATAAGAACATAACAAAGGTTACAAACTCTAAATTGTTCTTGTATCTTGTGGTGGATTGGGTCCAGCTCTTCATACGTGTTGCTCCTGGAATAGCCTCACTTTGTCCATTAGTGTTGGTGGGTTTTGAAAGTTAAGCAAGACCCAGTTTTTCTAAATAATAATAAGAATAAACTTTATTTTATATACCGCCATTGAAGGTGGCTTCTCAAAGCGCTTTACAGGATGACAATAACAATACATAAGAAGAATACAACAATAAATAAGGAGAATACACAAGATAAGACACAATTACAATATATAGAGGAGACCGTGGATGGTGGTACTAAGAAGAGCAGAGGGGTGAAGAATGGAACCAGTTAAGTAAAGGCTTTTCTGAAGATGAGGGTTTTGAGTCTGGATTTTAAGGAGTTTAGAGAAGGTGACTCTCTGATATCCTTGGGCAAAGAGTTCCAGAGCCTGGGGGCATAATAGGAGAAGGCCCTGTCACCCATACAATGTATACTTGCTGAGTACTCCATATAATAATATTTATATAAAGTTAATTCACCAGTTGAGCTCTAATTAACATTTTCATAAACTAATGTAGGTTTCCAGAAGTTACCAGGAATAAGCACATTTCTGACCATAAATGGATGGATAAATGGATGGTCTGTTTCGATGCTCATCCTGAAGGTGTTGTCTTGTCAGTGCCTTTGAGGATGTTCATAACATAGCTCTCCTTCTATTATTTTCTTTTCCAGACCAAAAATGTTTAAATTATTGTTCCTGTCAGGGTAGGAAATTCATTTAAATATTGGAATGTTACTTGTTTGCTCTTCCCTGGACTAAATCCAGAACAGCAATATGCTTTTCTGTAAAACGACTACTAAAATTGTACACAATATTCTAAGTGAGATATGGATAATCCACATATTTTGTAATAATATGCATCCCTGACTACTTTTCCAATTATGCCAGAATCTAGATCAGTGATATACTGTAAAATGGCAGTGGTCAAAATACATATCGCTCTCGAACCACATTTTCTTCACTCATCCCTTATTTCTTTGCATTCTATTCATTGACCACTTCTCAGCCCAGATACACATTACAGTTTCTGGAGTGCTTGCCACCCACAATCGGAGAATTAATCTGTTATTAACTTTATCAAAAACCTTATTAAAACCTACATATAACACATATTGCACATTGTGCCCATTACTGCTGTTGGCTTTTGACAGTTAAGCAAGAACCAATTTTTGAAATCTTTCCCAAGTGCCCCATAAAATGAAATTTATATAAAGTTAATTCTCCAGTTAAGTTCAAATTATTGTTTTCATAAACTAATACAAGAAAAGAACTATTGATCTATAAATGCTTCTTTTGATGGGTGCTGCATTAGCAGTATTGGGTAACATCAATGGGTATTATCCCTGTCTTGAAAGACTGCTGGGAGAGTTTTATTGCAGTCTATGGATATTTTTTGTTTTCTCGCATATCCTGGAGCAGGCCCTGGGGATTTGTTATATATGCATTTCTATTCAATTGTATGAAAGGCTCCCATTATTTTTTCATAGACGTGTTGCTCCTTTACAGTTTTTACATTTCCTGAAGTGAAAAAAAAAAGTTTTACTTTTGCTGGCCATTCTAACATACTTTTTTATACCCCTTTTGGAAGCTCCTGTCTTTAGGATGGCCTTTTGTGAACCTTTGTGCACGAACAGCACTACACATTGCTGAAAAAAAACAAAGGCCCAGGAGTTGGTCCTGACTTCACTGAAGACGAGATAAGCTAAAGCTGCAAGGAAGGCTTTTTCAAATGGGACACAGCTTAGAATTGCACACAGACTCTAAAAGCTGCATTACTAAAGCTAAAACAAGCTGAACTTTATACTGCACTCACCATTCACAAATTACACCGAATATGATGGGTACCATTACATTCAATTTGCGATAATATGAGCAGTGAATTATTTACACACAGGTGAGCTGTTTACAAAGTATGCAGAGATGACTCTTTGGCGGACTCTAGTGGCAGCATTGTGGTCACTACAGGACCTTCAGGCCAATCTGTAACACCTGTGCTGGTAATTAATTGTACTTTTCATTGTACAGTATTTTTAATTGTACATTTCATTAACTGGAAACTGTTTTTAATAATTTTATTAACTGCTTTCTTTCCCCTTATATTCCAATTAATTTATTGATTCGATTAGTCCACGGTTTTATAGAACATGATTTGCAAAATACAAAGTATTGAAGAATATTGGTGTGCTCACTTTTCCTTCCTAGAATGTATACTACCCCAAAAGAAAAACTGCATATGACAGATGTGTCCAATTTCTAAAATCCTGTTCAATTTTTTAATTCACATATTGTATGTTCATCTTTTTTGAGAAAACAGTAACAAAGAAAAACATTCAGAAATGACTGAATTCCTTGTATTGTAAAGTGCAGACACAATTTATTTTTTGAAATGTGTGGTGTTTGTCCAGTATTTTAGAAGCCATCTTGAGCAACATCTTGTGATGAGTGTAATCAAATTTTGGGTATGTATCAAATTGTACAATAAACTGGGAATCGAAAAGAAACTGTTGTAATTCCATTCGAATTTCACAGAAACACCATTAGTGCACTTTTGAGATATTGCAATGGTAATCATA